TTTAAACAGGATTCTAGCCAGTGGGAAAGAGTAGTAATGACAAGTCCTCCAAAATCTCTGTAAATTGATACACTGTGACATACCCTGTACACTTTCTTTAGTCAGAAATAGTTAATGCAGAATGCCAGAATATCTAATTCAGGTTGAGAACATAGGCAATTTATATGCTTCCAGCAAAATTGTAAGAGCTTTTCAGAATTCTTAGGCGTAAGGAATGTGATCCTTTGAATGACATTACAAAGCAAATCTTCCTTTGAATTCCTTTTTCTTATGGAACAAGTTTGAAATTTTTTTGAAATTTAAACTTTAAAATTAATGTTTTGAGTTTTAAAAATAAAAAATACTCAACTTCATTTCCTTAGAATACCAAAACAGGGCATGGGTGTTAATGTGAAAAATGGATTTTCTGTTTTGTTACACTCTCCCAAAATATAGAAAGGGTGGAAAATTACTAGAATAAATTTAGAGAAAGTCATTTAAAATGTTCTTTACTGAAGGCAAGAAGAGCTGTAGGAATGCTTGCAGATGTGTTTGTCAGTTCATAACTTTATTCTTAAATTTATTTCATGGTTGCAAAACTTTTCTTGGAAATTTCGTTTTCAAATGACATATTTAAATATAATTACTTGTTTTTAATAGGGTATCATATTTTTATGTAGGTGCTCAAAATTGTAGGCTCTATAGAATATACTGCATGGTATTTACTTGAAGATAAAAATAATCCAGATGTATGTCTAAATATCATTCAGGAGCCATTCTAATTTTTAAATATTGTTGAATAATCCGTAAAAGGAATAATTCAAATAAAAACAAGCGAAGAGTTGGCAGCATATTAAAGTGGTAATTCTGTATTTTCAGAAAAAAGCAAAGTGAACACATCTTTCCTTTTGCTTTTCTATTATAATGACCAGCTTTTAGTATTTCATTGTTACTGAGAATAAAATTTATTCTTCATTTAATTGCCCATATCAGTGGGTAAATTGCATTTTTCCTTTTGTGTTTAAAGCAAGAGGAAGAGTTGGGACATCTTATGGTCAGGAAGCTCCTCCTTCCACCCTCCTCTTCTTTTTTCTGAATACTCTTTCCTACTAGGTTTATGTCTGGGCATATGTGATAGTCATTATGTCTTTTTTTTATTAGTAGACAGGTGCTGTCTGTCGTGATTGCATCTGCCTCAGGGGTGGGTATGGGCACCTAACACATCCTGATTCTTTTTATTTCCCTTTTCCTCTCTTCCCCTCCTCTCTCTGTCTCCTGCTCCCTTTCTCATTTGCAAATGATCTATCTCTGTTTCCTATTGCCCATCTCTTATTTTATGCTTTAAATAGCTTATGCCGTTGGGCTTCTCATGTAAGTGGTTCTGCAGAGGCAGAACAGAATTCCTGGGGCTGTCTACCTCTCATCCACCTACCTTCATCTTTGTGCAAAAACTGCTAGTGACTCCTCTGCTTCAGTCTTCCCCTTCTCCAGACAGGATTTGTGAAGATCTGCTCAGGTGGTGTTTGTCTAACACCTACCGAGTGCTGGCTGTGTAATAAACATTCAGATGTTACCATTATTACTGAAGTGAAGGGCACAGATGTATTCAAACTTTGAGCGCATTCTGTTTTTATTTTTTTAATTTTATTTTATTGAGAAACAACTAATAAGACAGTTTCAAAACTGATTAATAGGACATTTTCAATAATTAATACATTGTACATTGTTATCTTCTTAGTGGTTATCCATAGTACAAGAAGCAGACAGGATATCCTGTCCAAATACTATTACTGCAAATCTTTCTTCTCATTGAATTAAGCAAAAGTAGCTGTATATCTATCCCAACTACTCTGTATATACAAATACAAAATGGTCCTTCCTTTGTATCCCATTTTTTTGTTTAGTCCTGTCAGAAATGGGTATTCCATTGGCATCTAAATACTATAGGTGCGTGAATTCAGCAAAACAATCCAACACAGTCCAGCAGTCCACAATAATAGTGGGTTATCCACAGAAGTTATTGACTTGAGCCTTTCACAGCTCAGCATATTAATATGGCTTTACTTTATATACCTCATTTT